CCTGTTAAGACATTACAGTATACGACATTCCAGACGGTTATGACCAGGAATGAGCCATCAACCATTAAAAAAAATCAATCAAGGGTAAATGCTTAATCCATATAACACTTAAAAGCAGCATGAACACACCCCTCACTTGTAAGAAGCTGTTACTTCATTGACCTGGCGGTTTAAAGCAGTGTTCCCCAACCTTTTTGAGCCATGGCACACCTTTTTCATTGGAAATAATCTCGCGGCACACCACCATACATTTAATAGGGAACACTTGGAAGAGTTTGGTAGCTTCTAGCAGGAGCTACCTTTTGGGTACTATACAGTATACAGAGGAGGCTGCGTTTGTGCTCCCGTTTTTGCTCCGTTTGCATGACAGAGCGCACGGACTAAGACCAGACAGGTACATATTAACTAGTCTAAGGTAAGGTAAGAACATATGTCAGTATGTAAAAAACGGTGAACTATTCCTTTAAGGGTAGAATATTGTCTGTTGAAGCTTGAAAGAAGCACATTCACAATACAAGTTCAGAATGTGCAATCTTCGTCAACTTGAATCATCTTCAACACTATCTCTGAACACAATCTGATTTGTTGCTAGATCCTTATTCCAAAGAGAAAATATTAGGTTGCATGGAGCCAGCAGGAACCGTCTGCTTGCCTCTTTATCCCCTGGAGAAAAGTCTGGGAAAGGTGGCGTTTCTGAGCCAAAACACGAGGAAGAATTGAGGTGACAGCTAAAGTTAAGCCGTCTTTTCTGGTGTTTTAGCGATCACTCTCGCCGCACTAACACTGGGGATAATCTGTGGCAAACTCCAACCTCCGCACTTTTAGGCTGGTACAAAATTCATGCGCACTTTACAGATTTGAGGTTTTCTGGATGACTTCACTTACAACCTCAGATCTTTGAAAAACACCTCTGTTGCAGACTGCGGGGTATTTTTGAGAAATATTGGAACAAATTGTGTTCTGCTCTGCTATATCCTTATTCAATTATACTATAGCAGATGTACCGAACTTTTATTCTCAATGTTCATTACCAAATGATCTGTTTCCCTGCAGACCGTTTCAAAGACTTCAGCGACACACTACTTTTGGTACAATTGATTTACTTATGCGTATGATCCTTATGATTCACAATATGAAACTTTGGGCTGATTGACTGTTCAAGGATTATCTCTACTATTTCTACCTTCTTTCTTTGTGCCTGAAAGAACTGTGAGAATTATGTTCTTGAGAAACTGTGATGGATACAAGCAAATTAAATAGATTTAAATATCTATTCCCAATGCTAGTGAGGATCAAGAATGTCACAGGAAAAAAAAAATCACTAATTACAACAATGAAAAAAGAATATAATGATAACATGGATAGTAACACGCTGTCCAATGAGTTCTCGTTATTTTCCACAAACCATTAGATTGCAGAGTCCCTGTTTGGTCCATAACTGTGTATTCAGAGCAGCTGTAGTGCTGTCGCAGCGGCGCTTCACCTCTGGCTCTCCCTGAGGCGACTGAACAGAGGCTGTGTCTGTCATTGAGACATTCTGTGACAGTGAGATGTCAGCACACATAATCCCCTCATACTACACTCACCTTTACAACTGTGCAACACACACTGAAGAAAACACACACACACACACTGTACATGAATTCATTATACAGTTTTTGCCCTTTTGTAAATATGTAACTGAAAAACACATGCTGCTTTCACCAACATGATGGATTTAATAAGTAGTTATAGTACAGAACTGATGCAGCATTATTTTATAAAAATGTGGATTATTATCAAAGACATCCGATCATTTTTAAACATTGTTCAAAACGGGAATATGTAAGTATTGCATATACTGTATGCCGAGTTGTTTGTTGAATCATATTCCATGTAAAAACTTGAACCAGACCCGGTCTTTTAAAAAGGCCGAGGATTGGATTCCCAGCCTATAAATACAGGTGAACCACCAGAACAAACAGTAAAGTAATGTTTACTCCGTGATCACATTTTGTTTGTTAAGCTGCAGACTGACGAGTATTATGTTTAAATCTGACTCATCTGGGAAACGAGCGGGATAAAGGTAAAACAGAAAGATATACGCTCTTATTCAGGCGTGTGGACAAAGGTTAGGTTTTATCTGCTCTGTGTTGGACCCCCACAGAAGCAAGGTCAGAGACAAGTGCGGTCCTGGTTCTGCTGCATGTATCAATTAAACCAATTCATCTCCAACACATCCCCTACTTACCAAACAAACACCCCTCATAAAACACCTCCAAACCCACACCCAATACCACCACTAAACCCCTCTTCCCCAATCATTTACATCCCCACCCCCCCCACCATCACCCCCAACCATTACTTCCCACCCAACCCCCAAATTATTCACCCCTAAACCTACACACAAATCCTCAATTCCCATCATTCACACTACAACAATTTTCAAACACAATTATATCTTCCAAAATTACCTTCAAACACATAAACAATTAATAAAAAAATCTACACAAAACCACCCCTCCTCTTCACCACCCACCTAACCCTCTTACCCCCGCCAATCACCTACACATTTACCACCCCACCCCTACCACCATATAAACCAAAATACCCCTCCCCCCTACCTCCCATACTCTTACCCCATCAACACACCCACCACCCCCCCCACCCCTAACAACATCCCCCACACCACCACCCCCCACCCCCCCCCTACTCTTTCCACCCCCCCACCCCTACTTTTTCCCCTTTCCACCCCCCCCCCCCACCCACCCCACCCAAACAAAACCAACACACAACTCATCTCCAAACCCCACTAACCCTATTCCATCATATAAAACCCCACCACCAAAAACCCACACCACACCAACAAAATATTCCCTAAAACCCTCTACCCTTCCCATCCATTTACATCTTACACAACAAATAATCCACCCCTTTCAAACAATACCCCATAACATCTTACATCTACATCTCTCACCATATAATTAATAATACACAACCAATCCCCATCTTCTCAAAATCCCCCTCCCCACCCTCACCCCCCTTAACCACTCCCCCCCATCTTCCCAAAAATACTAAACACCTCCCCTCCCCCCCATAACACCACTCCCCAACACCAACCCACTCCCCCATACTCCTACCAACACCAATCATTCCCTCACATACAAAACCAAACAATACCCTACCCACAACACTACACAACACAATAACTCAAATATCACCACATCTCACCATAACATCATACCCCCTCTTTAATACATTCCATTATAAAAAAATAAACAAACAAACATCACCCAAATACCCCTAAAAACCAAACTAACAACCCTAAAAAACCTACACCCTCCTTCACCCCTCTCCATCGTCCACCTATCCTCCTTAATCCTCCCACAATTAAACACCCTACTATTCCTCAACACCATTAATTTTCACATTATCTTTTCTTATCCCACATCCCAAACCAAATCACAATACAACAAAACCATATTTAACATAAACCTTACACATATATCTTTCTTATTCCCCCTCCCCCCCACAATAATACATCCCCCCTTCATCTCCAATTACCCCCCACCCTCCTTCCCATCCACAATACCTCCCAAATCATTCAACCAACATAAACCAATAACCCCTCAACCAAAATTTCCCCCCCCATCCCCAAAACCATCCCCATCCCCCAATACTTAAACCTCTCAACAAAACTTTCTAAACCACTCTCAACTCTCTTATCTTTTCTCCTTTCCATAAACATCCTCCTATATAAACAACTTTTCCTCAACCACCCTACCCTCCATTACATATTCTAAACATTTTAATTTAAACCATTCCTAATCTTTCATTCCCACTCCCCCCCCTTATTCTCTTCACTCTTCCTCATACCAACCCCTTTTCCTCATCCCCTTCCCCCATCTTCCTCATCTTTATTTTCCACCTAAACCACCCCCCCCTCCTTATACCTCCTTCCCCATAAACAAATTAAATATCATTTCTTACCCTCATTCTCTATCCCTCCTCAATTTTATATACTAAACACATAATTATCACCCTTTTACTACACTCCCCTAAAAACCCCATATTAAAACCATCCCCCATTCCCCACCCATCCCACATCCAATACACATCTAAACATTCCACCCAACAACAACCCTACCAAAACCACATATATAATATCCAACCTCCCATAACAATAATTCCCCCCCACTAACAACAACCATACAACCTCCACCCCCTCCCCTCCCACACCTATTAACCACACATCTTCCCCCCATCCCCCCTAACCTACCCTTCTTCCATTCCTCCCCTAACTCTCCTCTATCCTCAACCTTCCCCCCTCCCTCCCTATCCCTCCCATCCATCCCTAAACACCTAACACACACTATAACTTCACATCCCCTTCCCAACCACACTACACTCTACACCTTACATCATCTCCCCCCCCACCAAAACCAACTTAACAAATCCTACTCCTACAATCATACTACCATACCATAACCATCTCCTACCTTAACCAACCCCCCCACCCCTCCCCCCTTCCCCCCACCCCTTTCTAACCAATATCTTCTCCTACCCTCACTATAAACCACCCTTTCCACCTCAATCTCCTCTCTATACACCCCAATTCATACCCCTACCCCACCCCATATACAAATACACCTCCTCCCTCCCTTCCCACACATTTCATTCAAATTTCCAATCCCTACCTCCCCAATTCCCTCCCCTCCATAACTATTCCACCATCTCAATTCCACCCCATCTCCTATCATCCCCTAATCTTCTTTATTCCTCCATACCTATAAAATAACTCCTCCCCCCATCCCAACAAACTCCTACAATCATCCCCACCATATATACTACAACCAACACCCCCCTACACTCTCCATTCCCCACCTCCCTCCCATTCCTAATTTCCTTCCCCTCTCACCCTCCCTCACTTCCCCCTCAACCCCACCCACCCTTCACCCAAAAAATAAAATAAAAACTTCCCCAAACAACCTCCCCCACTCCCCACACCCACCCCCCCCCCCCTACATCTTCCACCCCACCCCCTCACTTTTTTCCTCTTCCACAACCACCCACCCAACCCAAACCCAAAACACCCAACCCCCCAACCCACCATCTCCCACTACCACCAACCCCCCCCTCACCATTTCCACCCCACTCTTACTAACATACCCTCAAAACAAAAACCTTCCAAACCATCTCACACCACACCAATCCAATAATCATTCACCCCTTTCCCTTCTTTAAAACAACCCACACCCCAACCCACCTATTTCATATACAATAATCACCCCCTCCCCCTAACCCCCTAACTCCATTTCATACACCCAATAACATACCCACCCCACACATCTCACATAACCCTTAATCCAAAACCAAATCTCAACCTCCCACAATCCCACCCACCCCCCCCCATATCTATACCCTCCCCATTTCCACCACCCCATCACACTATCACACAACCAATAACCCCCCATACCCCTCAACCCCAATACCCCAAACCCAATACACACTCCCTAATCCCATTTACCCATATCAACCACCACAATCCCAACTCACATATCACATAATTCTAAACCCTACCAAACACCCATACTCATACTCAAATTACACCCCTCCTTCAAATATCAATTCCTAACAACCCTCTTCACATTACCCTACTCTCCATCCACCAAATACACCCCCCCACCAACCAACCAACTACCCAACTTTACCAAACCCACCTAAATACACAATCTTTAATTCCTATCACATCAACAAACTACACCTCATATTAAAACCACTTATCCTCCTCTTTCACATTTCAATCAAACCTTCCATAAACCCTCAACATCCCACCCCCACCCAAACCTAACAAACCCCCTAATCAATAACATCACAATAACCCAACCCAATCCATTATCTTTACACCACCCACCATAATAATACCCCCATACCAACACCCCCTATCACAATAACCACACATACTCTATCACTATAAACCAAATAGAATAATCAAATATCTCTCTCCTAATTAAACACTCTCCAAATCCTACCATCATCCCCATAACATTCCAAAAATATCTAAACCCTCCTTCAAAAAATACTACACACCACAAACACTACAAACTTAAATTACTTCCTCCACTAAAAATCCCCACCATAAATTCCATATCACCCCACCTTCCAAAATCAACTCAACACCCCATAAAACCAAATCAAACCATCCCCCACCATTCAACCCCCACACTCTCCAATCAAACCCCCAATATACCAATAAAAACCCCTAATCTCACAACACCCACTATCTAAAACAAAACCACCCCCCAATTCCCCCACCACTCAATCAAACAACCATAAAATCTTATCACTACCCATTCAATTCCTTTCACTCACCTAAATTCACCTCCACTACCAACTCCCACTTAACCAACCTCCCCATTCCCTAACAATAACCCCCCCTCCAACCACACCAAACCACATTCAAACCCCTTCCCCCCTCTCCCCAACCCCCACAACCAACATCACCCCAAAAACTACCCATCTCCCAACCACCTACAAACCCAACCAAAACCCCATCCTCTCCCCCCAAAATATAAACCCATCTATACTATTCCTCCACACCAAACAAACATAAACCCTAACCCTATCTCCCACTCCCCCCACCATCCCAAATTAACCTCTCCCACATCCCCATTCCCACAAAAACCTCCCCCTCCTATACTAATCCCCATCACTCATAAATAACCCCCCACCTACCCATCCAACACTTTCAAACCCAAAAACCAAAAAATCCTCTCACTCCCCAATCTAATACCCACCCCCCCAAATTTTTCCCCCTTTCCCCCATCTTCACCCCTCCTCCCCAACCCACACTCCTACCACCCTTTAACTTTTCCCCCTCTACATACCCTCAACACACCTCCAATTCCACTCCCCCCCTAATACCCCCCCACCCCCTTTCCCTTCAAACCCCTTCCCTTCCATAACCTCTACACCCCCCTCAATACCCCTACCCTTCCCTCCCCCCCCCCATACAATATACCCCCACCACACACACAACACCCACACCCACCCTCTACAACATATAAAATTCACTCAATTCCCAACCCCCTTCCTCAATTCAACCACACAACCCCAAAATCACCCTACCAACCTTCTTACCTCCCACACCCATTTCCCTTACAAATAAACCACCACCCCACTATCTTATCAATTACCCCCCCAACACCCCCACCACTCTCCAAAATAAATTAAAAAATCTAACTCTACCACCAACCCAATCATCCACTATAAATCACTCACCCTAACACAACCCAACACCCCTTCCCTTACCCACCACACACAACACAAACCCCCCTTAAACACCCACATATACCTCCACCCTTCATATCAAACTACACACCATACTAACCACACACACCCTCACAATCATCCAATCACCCCCCCACCCAAACCACAACATTACCCCCCCCATCCTTTCCAACCCCCCATCCACCCAATCCTCCTCCCCATTATCCAATACCCTCAAATCTACTCCCACATTCAAACCAAAACCACCCATACCTCACAACATTCCCTCACAACATCCAATCAAAATACCAAAACAAAACAACCATCCACATAAATCACCCTTAAATCCCCCCACATCCTCCAACAAAACCCCCACAACACCCCCACTTTCCCTTTCACTACACACCTCCCCAAAATAACTCCTACCCCACCACCCCCCCAATCAATCCCCAATAAACCCAACACCTACACCCACCTATCTAATCTTATCCAACCCACTAAACAACCACACTACAACTCACACTAATAAACATAAAAAACTCAAATTCCACACCTCACTAATCCACTCCCCTCAAACCCAAACTCCAAACCCCCCCCACCCCCAACCATCATCCTCCTCCACCCCCCCATACCCCCCACCCCCCAACTCAAACACCCAAAAATACCCCACTTCCACCAAACCCCTCACAACAACCCAAACCCCTATTCTACCCAACCATTATAACCACCCCCCCCCTCCTCCCATCTTATATTCTACCATCCCACCCCCCCCCCACTCCACCCCCCATACCAAACCCCCCCAAACCACCACACATACTCCATTAACAATATATATCCCCCCCCCCAACTCCAAAATCAAATACCCCCCCCCCCCCCCCCTCAAACAAACCCCCAACAAAAAACCTTCCCCACTCTAAACCCTCCCACCCTCCCACACCCATCTCCACACATACCCTCTCCTCCCCCCCTCATCTCTTCACATCACCATACACTACAACTACCCCCCCATCATATCCAACCCCCAACTCCTCCACCTCATTCCTCCACATACTCACCTCCCTCATTTTTTACCCAATAATTAATAACACCTCTCCACTCCACATACCTCCCCCCCAACTCCCACAACACAATCCAATCTCTATTCCCCCTTCAATCTCTCTCATCAATAAACCCCTTCCCCTACACAAATTCCTATACACATTCTACACATCCCCCTTCTCCAAATTCCCACACCCACTACCACCCTTCCCTAACACTACCCCCCAATACAATAACAATACAATAACTACCAAACAAATCCCCCTTTCCCTATACCCTAACTCCCCAACCCCCCCCCCTTCTCTCATCATACCTTTACACTCTCTCATCCACCAAACCCCCCATACTAATTTCTTCATTAAAAACAATAAAAAACACCAAAACCCCCATCAAAACCCCATACTCATCTTCCCCATATATACAACCAAACCCCTTCATCCATAACCCACCAACCAACCCCCCCCCCCAACTAAACCACCCCACCACCCTCACCCAAACCACTCCACAAACCCACCACAACCCACCCACCACCCACTATCTATCCCCCAATCACAAACCTCTCCCCCAAAAAACTACCCTCCCCACCCCATAAAACCCATACTACCTCCCATCACACATATTTCCTTATATAACCCATTAACCATTCTACCCTCCCCCTCCCAAACTCCCCCCTAATAACACCCAAAAATCCTATCCAACCAACACTCCTATTCAACTCTTATTAACATTACCAAATACATCCACCCATCCCCCACAAAACAACTCTTCTTTTCCCACCCCCCATTCACAAAACCCCCTCCCCCCCCCAATTCTAACCCCATAATTAAAACCCTAATCTCCCCTACACAAACTCTAATTTCATTTCCTATATTACCCCCCATTCCAAAACACCATTACAACCTTTCCCCCAATACCCCTATCATCCCCTTACCCCTCTTTAAACCCTCCATTCCCTCACTTTCCCCTAACCCCTACACCCCCTAAACCCCCATATCCTTCACCCTTCTAACCCTCACCCTCACTTCCTCCACCTATTATTCTATCCCCTCCTCCTACACATCTAATTCCCCCCCAACCCAACCTCTATAACTCTAAAAAACCATCATAAATCCTCACCTTAAAATCACACCCTTTACCACCACCCACATCTCCACCACCCCCCCCCAAAACCAAAACCATCCATCCACCCCACACATTCCCCCATCCATCAACATTAAAATACCCCCCCCTACAACCTCTAACCTCAACAACAAACAAATCCCAAATCTACCCCCCCACTTCCCCCCATCATCCCTCCACCCTTATATCCCCTCCCTCTCCTCCTCCCCCCCTCTACAATCCTCCTCCACAACCCCCCTTCTCCCCCATCCCCTCCCCTACTCCCCTTAAAAATCATATTAACCATACCTCCCTAAATCCCCCTCCCTCACTCCCCCAAAACTATACATCAACATTCCAAATTATCAACAACTCATAATCATCCCATTCCCACAACCCCCTCCATATCCCCTAATATACCCCCTATACCCTTCTCCCTCCACCCCTCCTTTCCCCACATTACCCTCCACCCCATCTAACACCCCTATACAAACCCCACAAACACTTCCCCCCACCAAACACCCCACCCCCAACAAAATCCCTTTCATAACCTCCCCAAACCAACCTTCCACAAATAAAAACCCCAATCTCACACCCCACCATTAATCCCCCCTACATTACCAATCTCTCATTAACCCAAACCATACACCCCATATAACTCCATCACAACACAACCCCCCAAACTACTCCACCTAAATTATACCCTAAATCTCATCAAAACCCCTTCACCAAACCCACCCAACCCCTCAAACCTTCACTCATCCATTCTCAACCACCCCCTTAAACACACTAACAAAAAAACTTCTCCTTTCTCCAAACTAATTCTAATTTCTACCTCACCTTTACCCTCACACATCCTCTTTACCCCACCCAATCATCCTACCACCTCACCTTTTATTCATCTAAATACTACTCTCTAGCCACAACCATCCCATTAAACTACAACAAACTTCCTCCTTATAAAATCTAACACACCCCATCCCACCTAACACAAATACCCCTTTCCAACTAACATCCACTATCCCATCCAAACCCCCACCCCAAACTTCCCCCCTAACCCCCAAAAACCCTCCCTTCTCCATCTCCTCTATCTCACCAACCTCCACAATTCACCACCCCCTATCTTTTCCCCATCTTCATTACACCCCCCCAACCCCTTCATCCTCCCCCCATTTTCCCCCCTCTTTCCCATTCTCAACTCACCTCACCTCACCCCCAATCAACTTCCATAAACACATCGTCCTCATAACTCCTCTAAACCCCTCCCCAAACACCTCCACCTTCCCCTTAACCAACATCCCCCAACACATAATAACCCACCTATTAATCCCACCCTCATACTAAACTCTCCTTCCTAATTTTTCCTCTCCCCAAACCCCCCCCCCCCCTATACTCAAACTACACTCCTTTATACTAATCTCCTACTTTTCCACCTTATTTAACCTTCCCCCACCCCCACCCCCCTCCCCTTCCTTCACACAATCTCCCTATTATCCCCCTATAACATCACAAAAAAAAAACCCACTCTAAAAATAAACATACATCTAACTAACATAATCCCCTAATTATATATATTTCACCTACCCATCAACCCTAAAATACACCCATCAAACAATCACCCTTAAACTCATCCCAATAAACACACCCTCCACCTAAATTAATCTATAAACACTCATCCTCATCTTTTCTTCATAACCCTCCAACTTATATATATATATAACTATAACACCATCATCCTATTTTTTACTTCATTCCCATCCCCTTCCAAACCCCCTACTTCCCCAACCTATAATTCTCCACATAATCTTCTTATTTTCTTCCACACACCCTCCACCACTTATCCTCTCCCCCAACACCCCCAAAAAAAAATCCCATCTAAAACAAATATATCTTACATTAAATAACCCCCCTACATCTCCCACTCCTCCATATTTCATCTCCCTTACCAAAACAACAACACCCCCCCATACTATTAAACACTACAAACATATAAATCACATCATCAACACTCACAATAATTTATCAATATACATACTAAATATTAACATACCACATCTCATCCACCCTAATATCAAACTTTCACACCCCTCCACCCACTACAATACAATACACTTATAAAAAAACTAAACTACCCCCTCTTACCATCCCCCTCCCACATTCCCTCTCTCCCAACTTATATATTTATATATATATATATATATATATCACCCAACACCATTTCCCCTCTATAAAATCCCACCACCCAAATTTTTCACTAATAAAAAACCACCATTAACCACCATACTCCCTCACCGACATCCCCCACACCATAATCACAAATTAACCTAGTCTCACAAAACACAACACAAAAAACTATCTAAAACCAAACTACCTACCATTAACTACACCAAACCCTACTACCTCATTAATTATACACTATAACACAATAATTTACCACTACAAAAAAATACTAACCATACTCTCAACACATACCCCCTAAATCCCCCTCCTACTTACTCTTATCCACTTTACCAATTACCCTTAAAACAAAACATTCTCACCCTCAAACCTTTACCACACACCCTAAACCCCAATCACCAATAACCCAACCCACTACCAAACCCTCCTCAACCCCCCCACCAACCCCACCCAACCCCACATACCCCCCAAAACCCCCCCCCCCCCCCTACACCCCAACCCCCAACATACCCCCAAAACCCCCCCCCCCCCCCCCCCCACCAACCCCCAACATACCCCCCAAACCCCCCCCCCCACCCAACAACCCCCAACATAACCCCCAAAACCCCCCCCCCCCCCCCCAACCAACCCCACCTAAAAACAACAACAACCCCACACCCAAACAATCTACACTACTAAAATAATAAACAACCCCCCCCATTCAAAAACAAAATCACAAACCAATAAAATAACCTAATCAACACCCCATCTCCCCAAAACCCATCAACTAACATCCAACTAAAAACAACCTCTACCTTACACCCTCAATACACACTCCAAATACAAAAAAACCCCCTAACCTACTCATAAAAACATCAAAATAAATCCCTAACCCTTACAACCCATAATTCACCCACTAAACCACCCCACCCCAACCCCAAAACCCCCCCCATCCCACCCCCCCCCCTTCATACCATCCACACTCACACAAAACCAAATTACAAAAAACCCACACTTTCATTATAATCCATAATACACCCAAATAATACCACCAAATTATCTCTTACTTAACACAACAAATATCAAACACACATTACTACCATCATCTCTTATAAAACTACTCATAAAAATCACCATATAACCCCAACCCTACACCCCTACTTACCCACTACACATCCCCACACCCACCCAAAATCCCCCCCCTCAACCCCCCCCTTCAAAACCATCCTAACTCACTACAAAACCAACAATTACTTAAATACCAAATTCTAAATTGAAAATATAAAAACTTTTATCACAACTTAATCCCCCCACTTATATTTCATTATACACCAATAAACACTACCTTACAACTACTACTCTTTACCACCTCTCTTTGATTATTTTTAGATAGCATCCCATCTAACAACCTTAACACCATCCCCCCACCACATTTTTACCACAAGATGTCTACCCCCTATAAACACTCCTATAGTTAAACATGACCAGATTTGACACACAAACTCTTATACAAAAACTCCTTAATATATATCATTTTATTATCCCAAATATAATATTAAACGATTCAACTACTCTTACACAACAAATTCACCTTATAAATATTCCCCCATCTCATACCCACCACACCTCCCCCTCACTTCCAAATACCTACTAACACAACCACATCAAAACCTACCACCCCACTTAGATTCCCCTAATTTATCCCAACGAATCACAATCCTATTACACCCCTTCCCTCCTTCAAAACAAACTTCAACAAAACATCCTTATAATTTCTTTATTTATATACAAAAGAATTATCTCTATGAATATCCAAATTCTACCTACATTGTATACGTTAATTGCAACCCAATATCATAAAACTCTACTGAACTAATTAAAACAAATGAAACGTCTATACAATACTGAAAGTAATGACATCTTTAATATAAAAACTCTATCATAACTAAATATCATTGTAATTACTTTTCAGATAAGTGAAAATCAACATCCCCCAATCCATACCCTCTATCACACACACAAACCATTTAATCCTAACCAAACAAATACAATACTCCCATCACTCAGTCTCTTTAACCAACCAACATCACCACATTCAAAACCCCAACCATTAAATAAAAAGTACCCCATAATACCCACCATAAACCAACCATTAATATAAAATTACCCCATAATACCCACCATAAACCAACCATTAAATTAAAATACCCCATAATACACCCACCATAAACCAACCATTAAATATAAAATTACCCCATAAATACCACCATAAACCTTACATACCACATTTATAAACCACTCAAACTTCATCACAAAATTACCCCCTACACCCCATAACACATCTCTCATACCTCAAAACCACAAATCACACCCTACCCCTCCCCCATACCCCTTCCACTAAACCCAACCACAATAAACCCCATATACCAACATACACACTTTACCCAACAAAACCATACCATTTCCCCAACCCAATCACACCTCTCACCCCAATCCCTTTAACTTTCAACCCTCAACACAACCTCAAACACCTCTCCACCCCCACACATATAACAAAACATTCAAAAACCACCTTATCAAACCTCTTCACTAACACCATTATACCCCTAATTCCCCACCCCAAACAATAAAACAATCCCCCAAATTCATCACCTAAACACCCCCCCCCCCCCCCCCCCCCCCCACCTATTATAAAACTCTAATTTATTACACAATAACTCCCCCACCCCCCCCAAAAACCCAACCCCCAACCAACACAATACACTCCACCCACCAAACAACAACCTCTTCAAACCCCCCCCACCATCCCCACCCCCCTCACCTTTCAACCTCCCTAACCCCCCCACCCTACAACTCCCCAACCATAATCTCACAACCCTATACCATTACCACCCCCTAAACACTAAAAACCCACCCATATACCCCCCAACACTCCCTTCCC